GGAAAGAGAAATCATTTCTTTTCGTCCCTCCTTTTGCCTCAAGATTGTGTTTGCTCTAAGATCTGTCCACGTGCTGGCTTCACCCTCCTGGCCTAGCAGGGATGGAAGAGAACACCTTTCCTCGTTAGCTCTCCCACCGGTTGGCATCCTAGCAAACGGCACATCCTCATGCTCCCATGGTGGCCAGTGGGCACAGAGGGGATGGGAGCTCGAGGAAGAACTGGAGCAGTCCCAACCTTAGCCTCCCAGTAGCCAGCCTGGCCTCCAGTTACACAGAGGAGTCTGGGGCCCTGCCTCTCTCTCCCACATTGCAGCCTCGCCAGCAGACAAGGCCACGGAATGCTCTAGAACCGGTCCCATGGCATCCGTCCTCCCCGCTTATCTCACAGCCGCCCCAGGGCCAGATTATGTCCCCAAAACACATGGACCCAGCCTTGCCACCCCAAGGTGGGAGCACCAAGAGCTCCTCCATGGGGGCTTTTCTTTTTAAAAAGCATTTAACGCCAATACATAAAATAAAAATCACTTCTTGTCAGATGCATCTTTACTCAGGCCCCTGAAGAAATGTTTTCTTGTGCAGACAGTTCATATTAATATGTCTCAAACCCAGAAGAAATCAGTAATAAACTTCAGCTTTGTGAGTTTGTTTACTCTGGCATGCAGAGAAAGACATCTTTTATGCGTAGCCTAGTTTACAAGATGCCCAGGGTCAAAAGTTAACAAACTTTGGGAAAACAGTGTTTCATAAAAGAAGAGAAAAAAATAGCATACAGTATTCTGTTTTCCCATTAAAATGAGGAAAACAAAGGAGTAATCAGAACTATAATTTACGGGAAAGTATGCAGACATCCATCTGCTTTTATTGAAAAAATATCCTGCAGATGTTGGGTCTGCTTATGAATCTGCCACTTTCTTGTTGAATAACTTCCGTGGAATCTCAATCTCTGAGCAGTGCACTGGGTTCTACAGAACTACAAAATGTAATTATTTAATTGCTCTTTAGACACCTATTATTTTTATGTAGATGAGAGAGCTTTCAGCCTAAAGGCTGTTTTCTGGAGGTTATGTTTGAATACTAAATTCTGCTTTCATTCCCACAGGTTCACAGCAAGCAGGATTCCTAAATGCTCTTAAGGACAGTCCTGCAAGATATCCTTTCTGGCTGTTGTTTTTTACAGTGCTAACGTGTTAAGTATTGGACTGGCCGTCTACTCAATAACCTCTTCATCTTGTGCCTTGGCTTTCCTTTTCATAAATCGTGTTCCCTTTTCTTCTGTAAAGTATCCAAAGAACTCCCTAATACTCACTTGTGCGAGTAAGAGCCTCTGAATGCTTGAACCTCGAAGTGACTCATTTAGCCTTGTTTAAACTGAAGTGCTCTTTCACTAGAAAACTTAAGTGTGAATTCTTGCCCACCCCCAGAAACCCACACTGATTTGCGTTACATCAGGTTGGTCTGGGGAGAAGTCAGGCTGAGTTCCAACTGACTACATTTTGATCAGCAGCTGGTCCCTACAGAATATTTACAGACGCCCCTGTGTGGGTCCCGTCTTGGTGCAGTCACCACATGGGGATCCTCAGACCCTCTGTGTTCATGGGCAGCACAGAATTTTGGCGGCTACTACAGATTCTGTAGTCAGCTGCTAATCTCTTAAAAAGGGGACAGGGACAGATGAAGATATACAGAGGCTCTTGGAGAGAACATTTCACAGGTATGTCCTGTCTTCTGTTAATGATCTGAGAAGCTAGAGTTAGCTAGAAGTTGGCCAGAAGGAAAGGTTGTGCTAGGAATGAAATTCTCAGCATTGGTGGCTGCTAAAAGCAGGTCCCATGGGAAATGCCATCCCTCGTTTCCCTCCCCAACCCTGCCAGGGGTAACCATCCTCCACCATCATCGCTTCTCTGTGTCCTTCGGTTTTCAAGGCATGTTGCTCTGGCATAGCTTACAGCCAAGCCTTGTCTTTCCTTCCCTGAAGAAGAGGCTCGTCTAAGTCTTTCAGGAAATCAGTTCCATCATGAAAACATGCTGGTCTTGTTAAATTTTATGAATGCAGCTCAGAACCGGCATTGAGGTCTGGGCTGCCGGCTGGAATGCTTTCTGAAGCCTCAAGAGTGTGGCAGGCTTAGCCACCTCCCCTCCCCGGTCCCAGGCACCTGTGCCTTTCCTGAGGCCTTGGGCCCGTGCTGGACGACGTGTGGCAATGTACGCGACGGGCAGCTCTGCCAGAACGTCCTCTAGAGCACGCGTCTGCTCGTGCTCCTGGCTTGGCTGTGCTTATAGTCTGTGTAATCAAGAGCATTGTGCTCCCCAATAAGGGGAGTAGACGGACGCTGCTGAGAGAAGGAGTGACAGTGTGTTTCAGTGGTGTGCAAACCGTGCTGTTCGTGTGGAAAGCGGACGAAGGAGAGAAATGCTCTTATTTGGTTCAGAGCAAATTTTAACTTATCTTCCCTTGAAATATCATTCTCAGAGGTAAAGAGTTTCTCCTGGGCTTCCCTGGTGGCGCAGTGTTTGAGAGTCCGCCTGCCGATTCAGGGGACACGGGTTCGTGCCCCGGTCCGGGAAGATCCCACATGCCGCGGAGCGGCGGGGCCCGTGAGCCGTGGCCTCTGAGCCTGCGCGTCCGGAACCTGTGCTCCGCAACGGGAGAGGCCACAACAGTGAGAGGCTCGCGTAACGCAAAAAAAAAAAAAAGAGTTTCTCCTATGGCACGGTTCTTGAAAGCTCATAAGAATCTCAGCCACTGCCTTTCCAAACAGTGCTGCCATATCCAGGGCTGAGCCTCTCAACCAACAGCCAGGCATTTTTCCCTTTTACGGATGTTATCCAGGCATGTCCTCCACATTCAGAGGCTTGGCAGCTGCAGCTGTGGCAACACAACCTGCTCTGAGCGCATGGCAGGCCCCTTACAGCCTCCAGACACAGCTGCAGGGCACCCTGGCACATCCGGGCCAGGGCCTTGCCCAGCACTGCTCTGGCACGTGCTGGTTGTATTAGCTTCCTGTTGCTGTTGTAACAAATAGCCACAAAAAAAGAGGCTTAAAGCAACATAAATTTATGATCACCCTGTTCTGTAGGTCAGAAGTCCAGTAGGCTCGGCTGATTTCTTCTCTGGGTCCCAGGCTGAAACCAAGGTGTCGCCAGCCTGGATTCTTATCTGAAGTCTCAGGGGAGAATCCTCTTCCGGCTCATTCAGGTAGTTGACTAAACTCATGGGGTGTAGGGCTGAGGGCCCCTTTCCTTGCTCCGTTCCCGGACTCCTCCCTTTCTCTTCAAGGCTAGCAACAGGGGATCAAACCCCTCTCACGCTCTGGGTCTCTCCTGCCTCTAACGCCCATCTCTCTGACCTCAGCCAGAAAGCCTCTCTGCTTTTGAAGAGTGGCCGCATCCAGATCATTCAGGAAAATCTCCCCATCTCAAGACCAATGACCTTCAATCTACAGACTCCCCTTTGCCATGTGGATAATGTATTCACAGGTACTAGGGATTAGGGCATCTTTGGGGAGGCCATTGTCCTGTCAACCCCACAGGCCTTCAGGTAGGATATACCCAGGAATCAGGCACTCAGGTGCAGGTGGGTTTGAGAGGATCTCTCTCTGAACCCATCCAGGAAGCTCACTAGACGTCACCAGGTCACTTCTTGAGTTGACTGTGAATTCCCTCCCTTCCCTTTCTGCCCTTTCTGTTAATCTAGGAGAGAGGGGATAGGAGACAAAAATGGATGGGCTTTAAAATATATATATTATATATATATATATATATATATTATATATATATACACACACACACAAATATACATACACATATATATGTATATGTGTGTATGTGTATATATACATACATGTATGCACGTTTATGTGTATATATATGTGTGTGTGTATACATACACATATAGAAGAATGCATACACACGCATACATCTCCTGCCCTGAGTTCAGGTTGAAAATGCTAACAGAATGCCCCATGAGGTCCTTGTTGAATTCGCCAACCCTTCACAGTCTAACAGATGAAGTTATTATCTAACTTTACTCCTGCTGACTTGGTCCCCACTTGGTTTTGTGGCACCTCCTGATCCAGTGTCAGGCTGGGCTCCTGCCTGGAAAAAGGTGACCTAAAGCTGAAGCCAAAATATCCCAGGGAGCTGCCCAGCAACATAGAGACCCTCGGATAAAACCACTCCATTTCTCTCTCGGAAAAAAGCAGAACCAAGCGCAAGGCGCGGGAGGAACGTGAAGAAAAGCTGCCGATAGGGAAGGAGGAGCGACGCTCCCAACCCGGATCTTCTTCGGGTTTTTTGGACGTGGTAGGAAAGCAAAGTGCTGGGGGGGGGGGGGGGGTGTGTTGTTTTGCGGTACGCGGGCCTCTCACCGCTGTGGCCTCTCCCGTTGCGGAGCACGGGCTCCGGACGCGCAGGCTCAGCGGCCATGGCTCACGGGCCCAGCCGCTCCGCGGCATGTGGGATCTTCCTGGACCGGGGCACGAACCCGCGTCCCGCAGGCGGACGGACTCTCAACCACTGCGCCACCAGGGAAGCCCAGTGCTGGGTTTTTAATTACAAAGCACAGAAACATTTTGAGTGTGCCTCTCTCCCCAGTCAATGGTGTGAAGACCTAAGGCAGTCTGTTCTGGCCACGTGTTTTCTGTTTAAATACATGCTTTGGGGAAGATGCCCTCTTATTGAGTGAGTCTATTAAGAAGTGCTGAGTTCTGATGCTTTATCATAAATTCATATTCCAGAAGAAAAAGTATGCTTTAGTTTCTACTGGGTTGTGATGTATTTTTGAAAAAATGAGTTCTGGTTATAACGGATAACATATGCGTGATAAGTAAGGTTGGGTCCCATCAGGATACCTGTTCAGTATTTCTGGCTCCTGCTTTTCTTCTGGACACCTGTGTGGCTTTGGAGGCTCCATGGAGATAGCCGGGTGGAAACTTCTCAGGGGCAGCTTTTAGCTCCCGAGAAAGGTGCGCTAACCACGGGGGCTGCTCAGGAATGGTATGGCCTGGGGAGGACAGGTCACAGGGCCAGTGGCACTCCAAAATAGGATGCATCCTGCTGGTCAGGGTGGTAGGAGATTCTAGCATCAGATAAATATTAAACTCAGTAGCTCTAAGCTCCCTTCCGCTGCTGAGGCCCTAAGAGTTTGGGAGTCTCTTTTGAGGTGGTCGATTTATGATGGATGAGACTGATCTGTGATGTTTTACACTCACAGAAGCTGTCCTCTGATAACGGCAGCACTGCACACGGCTCGTCCACTCCAGACCTGCAGTCTGTGCAAGAATCTGCAAAGTACCAAGTTCTTAAAACAAGAGGAGGTTTTCTGGCTGAATTGCCCGAGCCCAGGGAAGTCCAGGGCAGCCTTTGCAAGTGACCCCTGCAGAGTGTTCTTGGGCAAGAAAATATATTTAAAATGCTTCAGTAGCCTCCAATCTGATCTCCTGACAATAAAACAAAAATATTTTGATGACAAATGGGGGCACAGGCAAAGGTTTCTCACCGTGGATTTAATCTGCAAAATATCCAACTCAAAAAGGTGTCGTTGTTGAAATGAGAGAGATTAGAAACAAAAATGCCTAATTAGCCAGGACTCCTTATCAGAAATACTGCCATGAATGATGGGAACATTGCTAAAGTAAAAAGCTCTTCATCAGGCCCACATGCAACCAGCAGGACTTTATAGGAGAAAGGCATCAACCAGCTCATTCAGGAAGTGAGCCTGGGGTCCAGGGAATGGTGTCTAGTTCCAGCGTGGAAGAGTTTGAGGAGGATTGAGTGTTAGCTCTTCTCTAAATGTTTGATACAATTCGCCTGTGACCAGCCATCTGGTCCTGGACTTCTGTTTGTTGGAAGATTTTTAATCACAGTTTCAATTTCATTACTTGCGATTGGTCTGTTCATATTTTCTGTGTCTTACTGGTTCAGCCTTAGAAGGTTGTACCTTGCTAAGAATTTGTCCATTTCGTCCAGGTTGTCCATTTTGTTGGCATAGAGTTGCTTGTAGTAGTCTCTCATGATCTTTTGTATTTCTGCGGTGTCGGTTGTGACTTCTTTTTCATTTCTAATTTTATTGATCTGAGTCCTCTCCCTTGATGAGTCTGGCTAAAGGGTTATCAATTTTGTTTATCTTCTCAAAGAATCAGCTTTTAGC